TATTATTTAAAATAAAATTTATTTAATTAAAATAAAACACGAGAAATTTCTTAAAATATTTTCTTGTCTTTAATTAAAATAAAATAATTCGTTTATTTGAAAATAATTTTAATATTTATCTATTGAAGGTATGGATGTCAGTGTTCTCATCGTCGTCACTCATACCCTCCTTTTTCTCTATTCGTAAACTCTAAGAAAAAAAAGCATAAAAAAGTGTTGTTTCTGCATTTTCTAGAACAAATCCGGATACAGATGTGCTATTAATAAAAGTCATGCATTTCCCATTTTTAACTATTTGTTTTAGTTATTTAAAAATTAGGTTGTATTTTATCTAGATAAAGATACAAAATAATATTAATGCTTTTAGTCTCCATTTTCTTTTTTGAGATTGATGATAAAACGAGAAAGTATTATACATTAAATTTAGCAATCTCTTGATAATCGTCAGTTGCTATAATTTTATAGTCATTAAGATGAATTTTCGAATGATACTTTTCATGAAATTATTCATTGTGGTGATGACTGAATCGAACATTTCATCTTTTCTTTATAATATCAATCGTTATTCAAAAACAAATTTTGATTGTCTTTATGCTCATATCATTGATGATCTTTATCAAAACGATGGAACATTTATTCGTACAAATTATTTAACTCCCTTTTGCCAACGTCCACTATTAAATGAATCTATGAATGAAGATTTAACATCGAAAGAAGGATATGTGAAAAATAGAATAAATTTTTCAAGTTTACGTTCTCAAGGCATTAGTAGTGAACAATTACTTGAATGGTCAATATCAATTGATATAATTGAAGAATATGCTATATATTTGATTGAAAATGATCCAAAACTTAGTGAAATTATTTTTTCAAATTGTTCATCATTATGGTTTGGTTCTCATTGTCAATATACATTTGGTTCAAATATTGAAATTGAATCATTTGGTGATTTTCTAGTTTCTTCATTTAATAATCGACAGGAATATCCCTCTAGCATTACAATAAATACTTGTTATCCACATTTATTTGGATGTTTCCGTGGTCCTAAACCAATGTGTTTAGATTGGCGTGAAATATGTAATGGAATAATTGATT